TTGCGCAAATTATGGCCGGCACCGACGCCGACCACCAAACCATCCTATATCCGAATAATAACAACGATCACGCTTCGACAGTAACAAATAAACAAAGTCTTAATGATTTGCATTAAATATACACATTCTTTTTACATTTTCTTTCGTATTTTTTCGAAATTTTCAACAAATTAATAAATTTTTAAGATGGCTGCCGCCGTACAGTAACGATCGACTATGTTCGAATTCAAAATGGAGACGATCGTTTGTTTATCATTCGAATTATTTGATTTTATGTACGATATAATTATTATATATTATCGTAGCATTATTATTAATACTTTTTGATTTATTTAGGAATTTTGAAAACCGGAGTCCAAAGTTTGATAACCACTGGATATCGGCAATAGTTGTTGCATATAGATATGGAGCGTCAACAGAGTCATACCAAACGTAAATATATTTCGATTGTATTTTTATTTATTCGTTTGTTTTCACTATAATGATTTCTATGATTTTTTAAAATTTTATTCTTTTTTGTAATTTTACATTTTATTTATTTTATAATTTTATTGTTTCTAATTATTCATTTAGAAATTTTAATGAAATTATAAGATCATTACAATTTATTTTATTAAAATTTTAAAATAATTGAGATGAATATTTTCCAGAAATTATTAAAATTATAGAAATTATTAAAATATAAATAATAAAAGAAATTTAGTAATCATATCAAATATTTTAAAGTTTGAAATTTATTTTAAGTTTTTTTTAAACTTTTTTTCTAAACTAATTGGTTTGGTATTTAGCCTTAAGGCAAGTTACATGAACTTCCCGATATGTGTAATTAATTGACCTAATCAATACAAACTAAATTAAATTATGAGTGATTAAAAGTATTCCGAGTGGATTTATTACACAGAATATAAATAATAACAATAGTTATAAATATTATATACATGATGATTGACACGATGCTGTTGTTGTTAATTCCAGTCTTCCTTGCATAGAGTTTATGAATTTGTTCTTGATCTTCTTTAATTTTAGATAGCTCATTTACTTGAATTGACTTGATTGCAATTGGTTCGGATGATTTTGAAATATTGTAGTTTAAATTAAATCTTGGTAAAATTATAGCTTTTCCTTCTATTGAAGATTCCATATTATAGTAATTTTTATTGTCGATACTGAATTTGCATTGATGGGTTAGTTTCAAAATAAAATTTCCTTTAATAAATTTTGTTTCTTCTTGATGATTGCAAGACATATCAATTCTTGATACATGAACTTCCCGATATGTGTAAATAATCGACTTAATAAAAAAAAAATGTGTAAATAATATACTTCATCAATCCTACTTTAAAAAAACGATAATAATTTTAGCAAAGTTTGACGAATTTTTAAAATTAAACTACTTGTTGTAAGGCCGTAATATTACAGTAAATTCTATAAGACCATGATGTATATCGCCAAAAAAAGTTCCATGAAAAAAGGCTTAAATTTTCAGCCTTTCAGCATCATTCCCAAATGATATCTTTCGAACAGTTTTTGATTTTTCAAAATCGGTTCGGTAGGATAAGCTTAAATGTGGACGAAAATTTAACACTTTTTTTCAACATTTAATTACAAGAAAACGGCTCGGTAGATTTTCACCTAAAATTAATCAGCATCATTCCCTAATGATATCTTTCGAACAGTTTTTGATTTTTTAAAATCGGTTCGGTAGGATGAGCTTAAATGTGGACGAAAAGTTCAACACTTTTTTTCAAATTACAAAGAAACGGCTTGGCAGATCGTTGCACAAAACTGACAAACGATAGTCCTCACCGAAATACATCAAATGGCTTTTAAATTTCTAAAATCGGTTCAGGCGTTTTTGAGAAAACGTCGATCAAAAGTCTAATTTTGACAAATGCCAAAAAGACCATACTGATTTTTGCAAACTTTGACGAATTTTTAAAGCTGAACCAGTTGTCGTAGGGCCGTAATATTTTAGTATGATCTAGAAGACTATGGTATCTATCGTCAAAAAAATAATCATAAAAATCGTCGAAATTTTTTTTTTAAAAACTTTATTACAAGAAAACGGCCCGGCCGATCTCTACCAAAAACTAATCAGCACGATTCCCAACCAATATCTTTCGAACGGTTTTTGAATTTTCAAAATCGATTCATAACTGCGGGCTAAAACGTGGACGAAAGAGTTTTCACTTCTCTGCTATTTACGAAGAAACGGTTTGGCCGATCGTCGCACAAAACTGACAAACAATAGTCCTCATCGAGATACATCGAATGGCTTTTAAATTTTTGAAATCGGTCCAGCCGTTTTTGAGAAAACGGCGATTTACGGCAAAAAATCTGTTGGTGCACACGCACACACACACGCACACACACACACACACACACACACACACACACATACTTTTTCCAAATTTGGTCTCATTCGATTCAGAATGGCTTGAAACGTCGAGAAAACATAAAATTAGCGAATCGGATTTTTTGATGAAAACATAAACTTCTCCTTCGGGAAGTTAAAAATATAGTGTGCATCATTTTTTGCTCTATGATATTGTGTGAAATGTTAACCTGAACCTCATTACATGTTTCGATGTGAGTGTTGTCTACTTGTAATAATTTTATTATGCATTCGTCATTATTTGATAGGATATGTTTAATATTGCAGAAATATATTTTTGAAACTGCTCTGCAATCTGCATCATCAAATTGATAGTTATTATTGCCAATTTTAAGGAAAGGTTTAGGTGGAATAATGACTCTATTTTCGGTATTTGGAATTGGAAACAATTTATAATGTTTATAAGTTTGGAGTAGATTATTATTATCATCCGTATAATAATATTGAATTTTTAATAAATTGTAATGTTTGTGAAGATTACTATCGCCTATGGAAAATGGTAGTGAATCTGTACTGTATAAATGCTTTATAGTATTAATCATAAAATTCAGATTATCTAATTTTATTATTGAATTATGAATTAAATTCATTTTAGCTAAATCTATTTATATTTTTATGTCACTTAAAATAATTGTCATCAATATAACTAAACTATAAATAATTTCTTCTAAACTATCTGGTTTATGAAAAGTGTCTTTATATTTTTTGCAAATTCTTAAAATAGCATTTTTCTCTTCGAGATTCATGTGGTCAGTCCGTATTAGGTTTTCAATGTCGGAAAAATCTATATTTGAGTCAGATACAAAAATTATAAAATTCTATTTCATTTGTGAGTTCTACTTGTAAAGGTTTGGTTAATGTTAAGTTAATTTCGTTTTCTGTTAGGTTAGGAATTTCAACTATGGCTTCATTGTTTTTTGCTAATGTTACGGTATCTGGAATGAAACAATTTGGAAAATTTTGCCTTGTAATTAGAATTTCACCTTCTTTAATGTTAACTGGGACTTTACATTTTTGAATGCATCTTTCTGGTATCTGTTGACTAAAAAGTATTTTTGCCGGACTTTTTAAATAATGTAAGTTTAAATTAGTATTGGGTAACACTATCAACCCATTATTTAAATCTATTATTGCCTTCAATTTTTTAAGATTATCAATACCTAATAACCCATTGAAGGTTTCATGAAATTTAAAAAGATGGAATGGCAGGTTTTCATTACCTTTGAACTCTTTAAAACTCGGAATATTACATGCAAAATTTCCTTTGTGTGTTGCTGAAGCAGTTTTTATTGTACAAGGGTCAGAGTAAATAAAATTTTTGAAATATTTGTTAGCGATTTCTGGACAAATGAAAGATTTTGTGGAGCCTGAGTCAATAAGAAATTTCATATTTGGATTTTGGATTTGTATGTATGAGAGTTGATATGTTACTTGAATATAATGAGCGATATTTTAGAAAAACTAACGATTGAAATAAATCATGCTTTTGATGATATGTTGGGGATGAATTTAGCTATCATGTGAATCCATTGTAAGCGAATCCAGCGAATTATTTAAAACAAAAGCGCTGGATTTAATTTTTTACAAATAATTTTCATTTTTGTAAAATTTTCAAATATTATTGTTTTCTCCTCGGTCCTACACTTTTCAAATATAGTTTTAATACATCAAAAGTAGCCAAACGTAACCATTTTTAACTTCCCGTAGGGCAAGTTATAGTAATCGCAAAAAAATCGAAAATGAAATTTTTTATATATCTTTACGTTTCAGAGGTTTCTGAACATTTTGGCATACCTTAGAAAAAATGGATGTATGTATGTGCGGATACAAATTTTCGTCGACGATTTCGGGAACACGGATCAACCGATTTGAATAATTCAAAAAGCATTCGATTCGTATTGATAAGAAGACGTGCTGATTAGTTTTGGCAAAGGCAGCTCCAGCCGTTCCAAAGATACAAGGCAAAAAGTGCCGAAAACGGTAATTCAGTTTTTAAGAGAACGGAGCGTCCGAATTTAATAATTCAAAAAACATTTGACTTGTATTGACAAGATGTAGAATTGATCAAATTTTCATGAAGGCAGGTCTAGCGGTTTCGGAGATCTAATGAAAAAAGCAAAAAAAAAAAATGCCATTCGGCGGTTAAAAATGATCATTTGACATATGCACCTCAAATTATCAGATATTTTTTATAGAATTTCAACAATAAGTATATTTTTTTTACATTTCTATGGGTTCCGTACCAATGCTTATGCGTTAGACGGCGGCGCGGCACTTGCGAGCTTTGACATTTTGTCTCTATGCAGTTCAAGCAGTGCGATTGCTTTGAATAAAAGTTCAGAATTTCCAAAATATGTCAAAATGAAGAAAACTTTTTCAAAGAATTTTTTTGTTTCCAAAAAAAAATTTTTTTTCTCAAAAAAAAAAATTTTTTTTTTCAAAAGAAAGTAATTTTTTATCAAATTTACAGTTTCTCAAAAAAAAAATGTCAATCGTTTTTAAAAAAATAATAATTTTTGGTACGGGAAGTTCCAGCAATTTGCCTTAAGGCACGATGCCCTAATTGCCTTAAGACAGAATTCCACTTACAGCTAGTTTTACTATAATGTCAGATAACGCTTTATCCGCGTCGCCGGTGGGAACCGCTGCGCCAGCTACAGCATCGTCGAGTGAAGCCGTCCCATCGAAGAAAAAGCGAGTGAGGGCGCCCTATCCTCCCATATACGTAATGGTCAACGACGCCATAGCAAGCCTGAAAAAACGCGGAGGATCGTCGCTGCAGGCGATCAAGAAATATATGTCGGCCAATTATAAAATCGACGCCGAGAAAAAATCAACATACATCAGAAAGTATTTAATGTCGGCAGTTGAAATGGGAACACTCATTCATACGAGAGGCAACGGTGCTTCGGGTTCGTATAAACTTGCCGCTAGACAGAGGGGCGGCGAAAGCGGTGTATACTATTCTTTTCGATTAAGAAGAATGTTATTTTTTAATTCTTTTGATTATTTTAGTTTAAATTTTTTAAATGGTGAATTTAATAAAATAATTAAAATAAGATTTATTTTAATAATTTTTTCTTTATGCTTTGATAAGATTATAATTAATTTGATTTTTTATATTCCTAATACATATATTTTTTATTAGATTTATAATAAATATTATAGTTATAATTATGTTTTTATTAGGATTATGAGTAGGGTTAGAAATTAGGTTTTATAAAATATTATATATAAAAATGGATCGCAAAATGTGTTGGTAAGCGCATAACTCAACAACGCTCTTCGAGTCTTCGATCTTTTAAATTTTCAGCTCCTTCCCAGACAGCACAAGACATGCCAGGGAATGTCCCACTTGTCCTCACAATCTCCCAATATCGCGATATCCTATGAATATCCTATGAATATGCAACGGGACGTCTCAAAACCAAAGGACTCGAGCAGGTATAACGAACGGTTCACGACATGTCGATCTCATACGCGCACGGCTTGAGACCTCTAAACGTATATGTTTGTCCCTTTCTCTTCGCCGTCGCGTCGCTTGGCGTCATCAATTAAGCTACTGACGCTATATGTCGAATTCTTTTATAGTTGTTGCGTAATTGAGTATTATTAGTGAAAATTTCATTTGTTCTGTTTAAATATATATGTGGTGTTATTAATAAATAATATTGAAAATCCAAATGCTCTAAACTTGATTAATAATAGTGGAAATTGCATGTGTTTTATATAATTAATGTATATTTGAGTGTGTAATAAATAATTTATATCATACTTGAAAAAAATAAATTTACATTTTTATCAGTTTAGTTCTCTATCTAAGAGTTATAATTTGAGTTCACACTAAAATATATAGTATTTTAAAACTTCTAATATAATATGGCGCCAAAAAAAAAGTATTCAAAAGTGTTAAATTTATTTCAAAGAGGCAGTTTCAAAGGCGTGTGAATTACTATGTAAAGGCTAATATCCAGGCAACAGCTATTACTGATTCTGCAAATCTACAGGAAAGTTGCACAAGAATAAATATATGTGCAGAACAGCCAATTGAAAATATGAATAATGATTTGGAGACATTGATTACTTCTCCAGAAAAAAAGCTGCAGACAAATTGGACGGAACAGAGATAATAATTGTACGTAAAGCTTTTTGTATACTGCATGGTATTTGAAATATTATGTTACTAGTACAAATATATATTTTATAATGCTGGCATTTCTACCCTGCTAGATTCAATTGGCGAGGAAATTTTCATCAGGGAGATGACTAAAGTTCGATTAACCATGGAGGGCCTTGAGGAGCAAGTGAAGGAAATGATGTTGAGAATGGATTCCTTCCAGTCTCCTAAGGCTGTCATGAGTAGTGACATGGGCCAAATCAAGGAAATTTTAAACAAGTTTCCTCTGTGCTCAATGGACGAACTTCGAGAAGTGGAGGATAGTCTAAGAAACAACAAGGATGTGAAAACACAACTGGTAATCACATGTTCACCCAAATTTATGTTTATTAGTTAGCTTTATTATAAACTAGTCTTTATTTTTAGATTTTGTATTTGGCTAGGACAGGTGGAAAATGTGCTAAATCTGTCACAGTACAATTGATTAAATTGATATTTGATGATGGCCTGGCTAGGAGAGTTCAGCTGGGCAGGGGGTAAAGGAAAGCACAAGTATTGCGAGCTTGTGCTGTGCGATATCATCAATGGTAATTTATAGTTCCTATGTTTATGATATGTTGTAAATTATGTATAAAACTTACATATGAATAATTTCAGAAACTGTTCTAAAGAACTTACCTAATGAAACCAAGTTTGCCATCTCAGAGGCTACAAAAAGCTGGCTGAGGCATGCCAGTGAATGGTATACAAGGTATGTTTGTGAGATGTGTATTATTAATTTTATATATATATATATATATATATATATATATATATATTGAAGAGACGTTAGTAATGAATTTACTAATTAATGAATAAATGTAACCAATTTTTAATAACTTCTTGAGTAGATTATAGTTTATTTGGAATACTTAACGACGAGAATTGGAACATTTGTAGCTCTTCTGGAAGTGTGTGAAATCAAAGAATTTATTTAGATACAAAAATTTATTTAGCGCTTTATTATAATATTTTAGTTGTTACTTGTTCAAGAGTTCAGGACTAACTAACCTATATTTTTACATTTTTAAAATATTTCCAATATTTCTAGTTTTATGATAGCTCGCCGAGGGTACATGAGCTATCATGTAAACTTTTATTAACGGTTGTCTTGCAGATGTACAAGATATTCGCAACATTTACCGTTACTCGGGATTATACATCGTTCAAATGAATTTACTTATGACTATATTTATAATTATAAAGAACACAATTCTCAACACCTCCATCGTGAAAATTAAGCCGTCCTCGGCTTATTACATAACATTAGCGAATTTCAGGTTGTAATTAACTTGTACATTAATAACTAAAATCTTTATCTTAATAACTATGAGTTGATGCATCATGGATATAACAACTAAAGACATCAATTTTTATTTATATTTTAGTAAATCAAAACACTTAGCTAAACCTTAACATTAATATTATAAATTGGACTATTTTTTTAAATTCATTTACATTACATATTTTAGATTTAATTTATTTGTGAAAAGAAATATTATTTTTATTATTATTATTTAATCAATAAAATTTAATTGATAATTTGATTTATGTGATAATTAACATTATTCTATGAGATTTATCAAATTAATTAAATGCAATTCAATAATAAGATTTTTTTTTTTTTTAGAAAATTTGATAAAGATTATGTTACTTTACTCGTTTGGTATAAACTTTTTCAATTTGTCGTTGTGCACTTGTACATGTTTATTATGGATCAAAATGGTACTATTTATACTATCGGTTTTTAATATTTTAAAGGGACCTTTCCATAAGGGCAAAAGTTTTTTGCATCGCCGCGGATACGGAGTTTCATCTCTCAAAAGAACATACTCATCGATCTCAAAGGTTTCAGGATTCAAATTTTGATCATAGTTACTTTTAGTTTTTTCTTTACTACTCAGTAAATTTTGTCGAGCGAAACTATTCGCGTGCGATAACCGCGATTTTAACTCATTAACGTAAGTGTCGTAGTTATATTGAAATATAGGTTTTGCTATAGACAGTGGTAATTCTAATTTCCTACCAAAAACTAACTCGAAAGGTGTGTAATTTGTCGCGTTGTGTATAGTTGTATTATGGATAAAAACAGCGTATTTTATGCATTTGTCCCAATCTGTTTGGGTTTTGTTAATATAGGATCTTAAGTTTTGAACATAATCCCTATGGATCCTTTCGCATGAGCCATTCGACTCAGGTCTGTACGGGTAAGTTGTTATCTTTTTAATTTTTAGTAATTTGCAAACGTCCTTGAATAAATTGCTAGTAAACGTGGTGCCTTGATCAGATAGAATTTCCTTAGGAAAGCCGAATTTTAAAATAATTTCTGAAACGAATGCATTTGCGACTGTCGAACTTTCTTGGTTACAAATGGGGATCGCGCCTGCATATTTCGTTAAGTCGCATATAAATGTCAACAAATATTTATTTTCGGAGTCAGAAACGGGGTAAGGGCCGCAAATATCAATACAAATTTTTTCGAAAGGCTCGCGGGCTGTTGTTGTTATAACTAAAGGTTGCCTTGTTTTCTTACATACTTTATTTTTTTGACAATCAGGACATTTACTTACATATGATTTAATTTGTTTTCGCATTTTTGGCCATTTGTATATGCTACGTATTCTGCTGAATGTTTTTTTATGGCCCAGATGACCTCCCGTATATTGTGATCTATGAAATTGGTTTAAAATCTCACTTATCTCATCCGGGGTTAGGTTTTCAATAATTTTGTCATAATAAATTTTTAATTTTATATCGGTGTCTCTGAAAATGTATCGTAATAAGATTCTAAAATTTTCTATTGGTATGTGGCAAAAACTTTGAAATTGTGCCGGAGCTGCAATAGCAATGGATTTAATATTTTCTTGAATTAAATGAGCTTTTAGATTTAAGAGGCAATGAAAAAAATCTTCAAGTGTTGGCTGGGAATTCATGTTATTTACAATTGAGTAAAAAATTTGTTTTTGAGAGTAGTTTAAGTTGAAAAAATCGTGTGTTCCGTAATTAGCCAAATTGTTATTAATGTTACTATGTTGGAAAAAATCGAAATATTTAGTTAATTTATCATCGGGAGTTTGGTTTTTTATCACGAATATCAATGCGGACTCTTCATGTTTTAGGCATGAGAGAAAAACTTCATTCGATTCCTCGATATTGTTATTAATTATAACCGAGGTTTTAATAGTATTTAAAAAATTTTCAAAATTATTTTCGGAATTAAAATTGCATCTGCATAGAAGAGATAATTTTGGTTTAGAATCGATAGGAATAGATGAAATATTTTCATTAGATGCTAATTCTTGAATATCAAAAAATGAGCGAGATAAACTATCAGCATTCGTATTAGATGATCCAGATTTATAAATTATATCGAATTCATATTCTTCTAAAGAAAGCCTCCAGCGCATTTGCCGTGAATTTGGATCTTTACATTTGTACAGGTAGATAAGGGGCATGTGATCGGTGTACAATTTGAATGGTTTACCATAAAGGTAAGGTCGGAAATGTTTTATGCTCCATACGATTGCTAAAAGTTCTTTGTCTATAGTAGAATAATTTTTTTCTGCGGGGTGCAAGGTTCGCGATGCATATGCAATTGGTAAATCTTTTCCTTCGACATTTTGAGATAGAACCGCGCCTAATGCAAAACCGCTTGCATCCGTGGTTAATGAAAATTCTCGATCGAAATCGGGATACTGCAGTAAAGGTGGATTTATTAGTTTTTGTTTAAGTTCGTCAAATGCAAGTTCACACTCTTGGGTCCAATTAAATTTTGCGTCTTTTTTTAATAATTCGGTTAGAGGTAATGCAATTCGTGAGTAGTTTTGTATAAATTTGCGGTAGTAACCGGACAATCCTAAAAATATTTTTATTTCTTTTTGATTGGAAGGAGTGGGAAAGTTTTTTACTGAGGAAATTTTATCAGGATCAGGAGACACACCGTGTGCACCGATAATATGACACTTATCGGGTTGCAATTTTAGATTGTATTGTCGTAATTTTTCTAGCACTTCTAGTAGTTTGGTATTATGTTCTTCAAGT